ACTTACGTTTTCAATACGATTTGACGTATCATAACTTTTATCTCATTTTCATGTTCATTCATTCTGGTTGATAGTGTGTTAATTAGTTCTTCAACTTTATTAAGATATTCAGATTGCTTTTGTTGTGTCTCCATCATTACTTCAAATGATGGCATTGTAGCAATTTTATCCGTTTGTTCTTTAACAGTGGATTCCAGTGTAGCATTAAGAACCAGAAGTGATTTGTTTGAAATTCGAAGATCGAGAAACTATAAAATATATAAATGTATAATGTTAGAGATGCGAATAATGTATTATTAATAATATAATAATGTTAATAATAATAATAATAACAATTTGTTATTACCTTTCTTTGGACCTTTGGATCAGACGATAAACTCATCAATTCATCCAACTCAGCTTGATCGTTATCTTCATTTTCATCGTCGTCTTCACAATCGTCATCAGACTTATCATCATCATCATCATCACCATCATCATCACCATCATTATTATTACTATTATGATTATCCTCCTCATAATCATAACCATCATCAACATCATCATCACTCCTTGAGTCGGAATAATTTTGGTCTGTAAAATTGTTAGATTTTAATTGTGCTGAAATTTTAACTTTTCTTGGTTTAACGGTTGTTGTTATTGCCGAAGTTGTTCTGGTTTGCGTGTGATTGTTGTTATTATCAAAATCCATTACAGCATTGGCTGCAACCTTAGGTCTAGGTGGTTTAGCCTCACCGTATAAAAAAGGTTGATTTTGATGATTAGGATAATAATTTTCATTGTCATTGATTGTTGATGTTGGCAAATGAGAAGAAAAGTTAAACGGTTGTTTTTGTTGTTGTTGTTGTTGTTGTGTATTGTACACATAAGGACCCGGATCACTAAGATTTGTTAATTCAGTACGAGTGTCATGTGAACGATACGTAACATCAGATAAAGCTCTAGGAGAAGCATTTAATGGTGATTTGGCAACAGTTCTAGAGTTGAATTGATTAATATTATTATTATATTGTGAATTATTATTATATTGATATTGGTGTTGGAATTGAGGAGAAAGAGATGATTGGTATTGTGGTAGTGGTGGCTGTTGATGTTGCTGATATTGTAGTGGTGGAGTGGATTGAGATTTAAATTCAATAACAGATTTCGCTTTGACTTTTGGTTTTGAAAGAGTATTTTGATCTTTATTACCACTGTAAATCACTTCGGAACGACTTTTTGATGATTTGTTATTATTATTATTATCATCTTGAATTTTCATTTGAGTAAAAGCCTTTGAATTTTTAAGTATTGATTTTGTCTCAATAAAAGAGTCATTAGTATTTTGTCTAAATCCACTTTCAACTCCCATATTTTTTTGGTTAAAATTAAGAAAAGTTGTTACACGAGTTTTAAAATTTTCAACATATTAATATATATATCCATTCTTTTTATTAAAAAAAAAAAAAAAAAAAAGAAATTATCATCTATCACATACATAATACACTCGTATTTTGATTAAAAAAAACAATGCGATATAGGAGCTATAAATATTATTATTATTATATAAATTTTATAAATTTTAAACTATACAAAAATGTCTGAATATCGTAAACACCACCAACGTAACAACTTTCACAAAATCTTATCCAGGTTAAGCTTAAGAAGAGAAAGCCATATCTTCCCATTCACTAAATCTGAAAAAGAAATAACACCAAACTTCGTCACTGCTACATTTCCAAATGGTTGTGAAATAGACATCGAAGTGCCTACTGAAAAATTCATAAAGAAATTAGTAAAGAAATATAAGAAGGAAGGACATGTAAAATCTGGCGCATTCTATTTGTTCTTATTAACTTTACAAGATAAAATTGAGCGTGATCACAAAGAATTTTATTCACAATTTATGAAAAAACTTGCTTTAATCGGATCAATAACTTGGAGAAATTGTCCAATATATTATATACAAGCTTTTGAGAGATTGGCTTCCAGAGTAATATCCACTTCCTCAGATAATACAAAGATCGACTTTTCCTTCGCTATATTTTATAGGAAAGCTTTAGATAGATTACCATCTAAAATAAAAAAACCTTAATCATTTTATAAATCATTTTACATTTACATCGTTTAATAATACAAATAACGACTTCTCTCGTTATATTTTATAGGAAAACTTTAGATAGATAACATCTAGAAGAACATTAATCAATATTTTACATTTACATTCTTTATCATTTGTTAATCTGTATACTATATAATAATATTATTATAAAATTTAGAAAATTATCTTTTAAATTATTAATTGACCAATCTTTACTTTGCTAATTAATTAAATAATAATATTCTGTGTTAAATAATACAATAATAATAATAATAATAATAAATTTAATAGCATATATTAAGATTTAATATTTTGTCACTAAATGATAAATAAAATATTGTTTAATACTGACTTCTCCATTATCTCCAAAAGACGAAAAGGTTTCCTTATTTATTCTCAATAATGAATTGATCATCTTCATAAAATACCAAACAAGCTCCCTCATTTTTGATATGACTTCCACAAAGAATAGGCAGAACAAATAGTATACGTGGAAGATATATTATTATCTTGCCATTACCTTCTTTTAACTCACCTAGTTGATAGTAACATTTGAAAAACTCTATTTTTAAATTAAACTGTTTTTAATACTCCCAAATTTACACACGAATAAGTCTAATACTACTTACCTCCACAATACTAATGCTGTAAATATCCCGTTTTCTTTGTGTGTTTTTTTTTTTTGCCTCCAAGTAGCTCAGGTGTAATATAATGTTGCAATCCCATAGATTTTGTTTGATGATTTTTCATCAATTGGTCCACACAACCCCAAATCTATAATATAACAACCGACACCTTGATTATGTAGCAGTTGGAATTACCTCCTTCTAATGTGGAAGAAAAGATGCCATGACCTACAAGGTAGGATTATATCAAAGAAAATATTGCTATATTTGTTGACGACGTTACCTATCATTATTGAGGAGATCCATAAATCGTTACCGGATAAACTCTATCTATGTTTTACCTGATTATGCTCCAACGGGATATTTACAAGCTCTAATATTTACCATGTGAAAGCCAGTGTAAAGAAAGGATAAAATTTTGAAAGGAAATCAGCAGAATATAAGAACCATACCTCGAAACCAGGAAAGAAGAAAAGGGTTATTTGATTATGGTTAGCAAATTACAGCTTTGGTATTTAGTTTTATAAACTATTATATTTCTAAAATTCCTGCGAAAAAACCTAAAGGACTGTAAAACTGTTGGTGGCATAAACCAAGTGGAAATAGAACTTTCTCAAACAACAAAATCCCACGCCAGATTAATTCATTACATCACTTGGGTATACTTTGGGCAAGAAAACCTTCATAATAAGCAAATTTCGCTAACAGCGACAACCCTTTTAATGCGCACAACAAAAAGTTTTTTGTTTTCCAACGGCAAATTTCCAACTTTAATAATAAAATATTCTAAATTTTATTTAGCATAAAACTAATTAATCAAAAATGGCTTCTTATCAACAAAGCACATTTCAGAGTTCTGTAGTTTCTAGTATTTATGCTGAAAAACATTTACATTCCTTTGAACCAGTCATGATTAATATTAGGGTATCACCGACAGTCAATTACAACAATCAGAAGCTATCATCAATCCAACTCAAAATATGCATGCAAGACATATCAGCACTATTTAGCAAGATATATACAGTGTTTGCAACTAAAAATTTCTGTCATAATATCTTTTTCTCTGACGTTTCTATTGTAACGAAACTAAAAATACACGCGATTTTAGCATAAAGATGATGGGTTTTTTACTAAATAGAGAAATTATCATGCAAAATTAATTATACATACGCTGTATATCGTATCGTCTTGAACTTATTTTCTTTTATCGCATATTTCGGGACTGATATAAAAAAAAATAGTTTAATTTACTCTAACGCAAACATCCTAGAATCAATTACCATTGAAACATTCACTCAAACGTATATAGAAAAAAAAAAAGCTTGCAACACAATATTAAATTTACTTAACGAGACAAAAAATACCTTGGGGTCGTAAGATAAAAACTTGTTGTATAAGTAATTGATAATAATATAAGGCTAAAATTTGAGAGTTAGAAAAATTGCTATGTCAGTCACTTTTTTCATTATCGATTTAAATATTTTGAGTTCTTAGAATGTTTCAGATATTATTTTATAATTGAGAGAAGATTTGGAGAGCGAAGCTGTAATTATGTTTTTTACTTTTATTTATTTACGTGCATATTATTAATATTATTCAACAGCAAA